AGTTCTGCTGCTGCACTGGTGCTGGTATGGGCCAGGATGCTAGTGGCCTCTTGGCTGCCTGGGCACAAGCTGGCTTATAACCAATTCATGCTGACTGTTAACAATAATAAACAAGTAAGCTTCTATTATATTTCTGGTTTCATTTTTCTTTGCACTTAGGACACAATTGCTCAATAATACCCATATCTAGTTAAAGCATTCACCAGCCAGTAAATGTATAGGTTACATGAGTAACCAGTCACTCTTAGTGCTGCTCTGATTGCACTCCCCATACTACAATGTGTAACATCTGCCCTCAGTGTTTGACACCAGGACTTGTGTGCTGGCTGGGCTGTCTGCTCTCAGGTAATGTGATGTATTTAGGCACTCAGTGTTGACATCGAGGGAGCATTTCCACTTCCTCCAGGGAGCAAGAGGCCTAAGAGCAGCTGCCTGAATGAAAGCAACCCTGGCTTTTCAGCCCTGTCCTGCACCTACTGCTGTGCTGTAACATACCTGAAGCATCATTTGTCTCTCACCTTCTGCATCCGTTTTCTCTCACAGAAGCAGCGGGTGTCAAGCAATGTGGATTGTGTGTTCTTCGCTGCCTTCTGCAAGCTGTTTCTTGGCTTCCTCAGTACTGCTGCATCTTGTTTAGGACGTGGGAAGATGGGGACGTGAGTGTAAGGGCTGCCTGAGTAGGGGCAAAGGGAAATAGGAATCAGTGACTGTGCAGCCCACAGCTGGCTGCCTCTTGGCTTCCTCTTCTCACCTGGAAAGAACTCAGTGAGTCCTGAGGTCCTCACCTCTCTGAACCTCAAGTCACAGCAGCTACCATCAGCATGCCCAGCATTAGCAGGCATAAATCCTCGCAGGCACCAGTCCCTTGGCTACAGTGTTGAGTGCTTAGTCTGCAGCAATCCATGGCACAGAGATGCCTCTAGGTGTTTGGGTGACCCAGAACTCACCCACTGCTACATGCTTTGTAATAGGCTGTTTAAAGACACTAGAAGGTGATGCCTGCCCCCTGAAGAGCCTCTGGCAGAACCCACTACAACTGTGTGAGTCGGCTTCTCACCTTGGGAGGGTTTTGAGCTGAATGAACTCCCAAACTCTGCTCCAGGTCCGTTTTCTGTGATCCTCTTGGAAATTACCTTGGGAAAGGCTTGCTAATGCAGGGCTGACCCTGAGCCTTGCTGAGCCCAATACCAGAAGCACTTTGGGAGAAGGCCATGTGCCAGGAGGGAACAGAGAAGCTGTGGCAAATGCCTCACTTGAGTTGTCACCCTCACAGATCCAGTGACTTCCCTATTGGACAGTGGGAGTGAGTGTCAAGCCATACCTTTGTGGCTCTTTGTGTGAGCTGCTGCCTTCTTTCTGTTCCCAGCTGAGTCATGGGCAGTGCTTGCAAAGGAAGATGTAGTAGGGTAAACCACCTCTTTCCAAATCTTGTTTCTGCCACACTTGAAGGCATCATCATCCATCCAGTTTTTCTGGTCCCTAAGTTTCCTCTGGTAGTGACTAGAAGACAAAAGAGGGCGTCATTGTCCCATGAAACACAGCCCAAGGCCTCACTCAGCACTGGCTGCTGTGCACCTGCATATCTGGGAAGACCTGGTTCATGTGAGGATATTTTAAACTGCAAAGGATATTAAACTGTGTGATAGACACAATTTATGGTGGCATTTACAGCAGTGTCTTTGTAGAGCAGGTGTCTGAGCTATGCAGGTGCATGGCCAAGTAGATACAAAACGTTTCTGGAGATCCAGTCTCTCTTGTTTTACAAGGCACAAATCTCCCAGTAAGGAGGGATCTCCCTCATCTATCTCATAGAGCTAAGGAAGCTCACCTGATAATGTCAAACAGAGTTTTCTGGGGCAGAGCTGCCAACTCCACCAGCTTCAAGAAGACTTCTAAGAAGAGCATTCCTCTGTCACTGGCAGAAGTGTAGCTGCTTGAGTGATTTTCCCAAGATGCTGGAGGGGAAGAGAGTGGTCAGAGCCATGGCTGAGCCTTGTCTTAACCTTCACAGAGCTCAAAAGGAGCAGAGACCACAGCAGCTCCCAGAGAAGTCTGGACAAGTTATGTCACGGGGATCCACCCCCTTTACCTGCTGTGTACTGGTTAGATATCTAGCAGATAGGACAATTCCCTCAAGCTTATGATTAGGTAAAGAAGGTGAGGTCTGCTCCTTCTGTGTCCCATCTTGTAAGAGAAGAGTTTGGCCTCTACTCTTGCAGCCAGGAGCATCTGGACCGAATGCTGGATTGCTGCCCTTGTCCCTGAGACTGGCAAGCCATGGGGACAGAGCTAACCTTGAGCTGGCCTATCATGGCCCACTGAACCATTGCTGTCTTGTCTGAATAGAGCAGCTTTCGTTTATTTGGGTCCCAGCTGCTCAGTAAATACCAGTTGATTTGAGAATCAGGTAAATTCAGATATCTTTGGATAAGGGAGGCTTTTGGTGGAGCAGGACGTCTCCTATGGGAGACAGGATGGAGCAGGATATCTGGGTGAAACACATCAGTAGCACTGTCTAGGGAGTCAGAGAAATCCAGTGGTCTGTCTCCTGCAGGAAAGTGGCATCTCTGTTAGCAGGGCAGGGTTTTGCTGTAACACAATGCTGGGGTGAGCAGCTCAGAGTTGGTGCCACAGAAAGATTCGCTACTAAAATCTAAGAGTAGTGAAAAAGCTGCTCAAGCTTTCCACTTGTAACTGGTTTGTGGATTCTTCTGCTTCAGCATGCATAAAGAGGTCCAAAAGTGCAACGTGTAGCCATGAAAGCTAATCCCTGGTAAACACTAAAATGCAGCAGCCCAAGTACAGCAAACATCTGGGTACAGTATTGCCCTGGGCAATGGGAGGGCACATGGAGAATTGGTTTGCACACTCAGAAGTTGACTTGGAAAAACCCACAAGAGAATAATACGTGGTCTGGTGCACTCCTCAGCATCTGCACATACCAGTTCATTGTACACCTCTTGACTGGTTAAGCTAAAGGACTTTTTTAAGGGAGTTTTGTTTGTGTCTTTATGGAAATCAAGGCCAGGTTGGACGGGGCTTGGGAGCAGCCTGCTCTAGTGAAAGATGTCCCTGCCCATGGCAGATATTGGGACTGGATGAACTTTAAAATCCCTTCCAACACAAACCAGTCTATGATTCTAAGCTAATCCCCAGCTGCTTAGTGGTCACCTCCAGACTGTGAGGTTTAATATTGCCACCTGAGTCTTTGGGGAATAAGTTGAAAGCATCAGAGGATGCTGAGAGGACAGAGGACAGTGAATTAAATGGGCCAGACGGAGGCACTGCCTGTATTATGTTTGTTTGGAAACCATGAACTGTAACCACTGGGGATCTGGTACTGGGATTGAGGTGGGTTGTTTCTTATGGCCAGTGGCAAAGCATCAGCCTCTGAACAGCTACTGAGGGGGAGTTGGAAAACTTGGGCAGAGGAAAGGTGAGCCTGTATTTAACCTGAGGCACTGGTTGAGGTGGTTGGTTTGTTTCTAGCTATGTCAAAAAGGGTATTTACGGTTCCTTCAGTCACTGGGACCCCAAATCCTTAGCACAGGGGATTGTCCCTTTCTTTTTGTACTCTGGTTATTGTCTCAGGAGGATCATGCAACGCTGCAGGGCCAAGCTGAAGGTGAAACCTCTCTTGGCTGTGTTGGCAACAGGCCTTCCAGCGGGGAAGCCCATAACAAAGGGACATTACCTTTCTGTTGCTTCCTTGTCATGTTCTTTGCTACTCTGCACTCAGTTCTCTGCTGAGGGGTACGTGAGAGGTCCCTGCCACACACACAGAGACATAAGAGAGATGGACAGATTGACAACTGAGAGGCATGCAAGAGACAACAGGTCCTGCTGATGGAGTGGAGCAAGCAATGCAGGTGCCAGTCCTTGTCCCAGCCCAAAGGGCCAGACGGTGCTGGAAGCACTGCCAGAGAAGAGCTCACCACCCAGCTCCATGCTCACAGTGGTGGGAATGAAACACTGTGCAGCACCTCAAGGCCGCACAGAAATGATAACAGGATCTCCACTGTCTTCCCCACTTCAGGCCAGCTTTGACAGAGGGCAGCTGTGGCCACCCTGGTGTGTGTGGGGAAGCAGGAACATCAGCCAGGAGGTAACAGCCCTGGAAACCTCCCTGCAATGGTGGATGAGCCAAGCTTTGTGACCCACAGCCCTTGTTAGGGCTGGTGCTCGGAAGCCTTCCCCAATCCAGCACCATGCCTCAGCATTTCTTCTCTAGACTGATAATGCCGACACACACAGCACTGTAGAGACGTGGGTGAAGGCAGGACCTCTGCACATGATCACAGAACAGACAAGGGACAGCAGTGTTTCCAAACACCCAGTTTCTCCCTTCATGCTCACCTCACTGGCTTCTTTGGGAGAGGTTTTACCACCCTCTTCATTGGCACAGGCTTTGTCATTGCGCTGGTTCTGGAAGTCCAGAGAGGAGAAGCAGCAGCTCTTTCTGGGTGTGGAAAGACAAATAAGGGGAGAGTCTTGCAGGCTTCCCATCAGGCAGGACTCTCAGCTGTAGCCACCACCAAGAGAGCTGGAAGGACCTTGTGATGACACCTCTCCCTGTTTCGTGCTACTGCAGCATTCACTCACTGTCTCTTCATGCTCATGGGCAGGAGGCTGTCCAGCAATGGAAACCCTGTGTTCTCCCAGAGTTTCCTATCCTCTGCTCATGGTAGCCAAAGGCTGACTAGTCACAGGAGGGGATTAACATCACACCAAACTCACTGTCACAGATACTGTCCTTCATCTGCTAATCCAGCACCTGCTCTGGCTGGTGGACATGAGGCAAGAACTGGCTCCACATGGGAGGCTGGTTTGGAGGCCTCCAGAGGGTCCTTGCCACTAGTATTTTTACGATGCACTCACCATTCACTTTTGCCTTTCTCAGCTCCTTTCGGTCTGGATGGATCTCTGGGATGGACAGAATGGAGCCCTCACCGATGGCAGCAACTTTGTCCTCTAGGGAAATCAAAAAGCCCCTCTGAGAGTTGTTTTCCTTCTAAGGAAAGGAAGAAAAACAGCACTCAAGGTTCCTTTTAAGGGAATCAGTTGCCTTGTGTAGCTTCTGTGTTAACATCATGTCCTTGTCATTTGAGAAGCACCAGTACAGGTATGCACAATGCTTTTAGCTCATCTGCTTCCAGAGATTCCTAAGTTTCTTCCAAGGAAAAAGACCTGCCCTTACCTCCCATGTGTCCTGACTTTTCTAGCTTCTCAGTGCTGGTCAGGACCTTGCTGGTGATAGATTCCAGGATGGACTCTATGTCCTTGGTGTCATCTTTGTACTCTAAGGTAGGGTCTGGGGAATATATGGGTGAAGTAGGGCATCTCTCCAGCATCAAGGCCTGGTTCTCCATGAAGATGTCAGGCTCTGACAATGGCAGCGAAAGGGCAGCCAGAGAGGCATCATCCACAGCAGCAAGACACAGCAAGTCCTCTGGCTCTGAGACGAAGTAGTTCACCACTGTGGCCAGGTCAGAGCTCAGATTCTTCTCATTGTCTGTCCCCTCTGTAACAAGAAAGGGTTGGAAAGCTGCTCTGCATGCTGGCACAGAGACACTTGGCAAAAATGGTTATTAATAATTATAGAGACTCCTTTGCCTTTCACCTACCCTTTCCCTCTCAGGATCTAAAGGACTGTAGCCACAATAATGCAGTGAAACTCCCTCCCCTCAGGCAGGGTGGGATGCTGAGGCCAAGAAGGATTACATTCCCTTTCCATGGCCATTCATCTCCCATCACCTCCCTCCATGCTGCACCACATGTGCAGGCTCTAAGCACAGCCCCCTTCTTTGATACGCTGAGGGGTGTCATTTCTATCTTGCCAAGATACAAGTCCTGCTATGAGCCAAATAAAGCAAAGCCAAAACTCAACACAAGACTACAGGGAGGGGAGAAAGGGAGAGGATTTAAGCTCTGAGTGCATGGTGTAGCCCATTCCTTGCAGCCTCACCGTGCTCCTGGCACTGGGATGCTGGCTGTAGGGACCACATAGGAGCAGGGAGCGAGGCAGGGAAATGGTTGTCCCTACCTGTGATGTGTTCTAGGACTTCCAGCAGCTCCTCGCTGTCTGAGGGGACCTCTGTGATGCTTGCCTTGGAATCTGCAGCATGGATGTCAGCTGTGTCCCCTGGGGTATCTGGGAAGATGAGGCTTAGTCAGTGAGGAAAGTGGGTTTGAGGAAGGGGAGCCCAAAATACAAGAATCTGCAGCTTTAAATGTCTCGCCAAGAGGGCAGTTTATAAGACTGAGACATCTCATATCCACATAGGATTTGGTGATTTTAGAGAATCTCACCCAAAACTGCCTCCCAGATCAGGGCCTTTTTGGCCAGACGTAGGCTGGAGTGCCAGGCTTTCCCCAGAGCATGACACTGACATCCCAGGCTAACCCTGACTCCTTTACAGACCTGGAAGTCCTATAAAGGGTAAATCCCAGAGCAACCCAGTTTCATCTCACAGCTGACCCAGCTTTGGACTTGAGACCTCTTGAAGTCCCTTCCAGCCTCAATTATCCTGTTTTTTTTTGTGTCCTGGGAAATGTCAGCATTTTGGTTTTTAATTCCAGCTCTGTCTTTTCTTGGTCCTCAAGTCGTACTCCTCCTGCCCTGCGGATGCTCCAGATCCTGAACAATCCCAAGGTGCTGGTACACTCACCATCCACAGCCACATCCTCCAGTGCCTCCTGTTGATCCTGGCCTGGTAAGTGGGTTTCCTTTGGGGGTAGCTGATCCTGGTCTGGAAAGTGGATTTCCTCTGGGGATAGCTGGTTTTGGTCTGGTGAATGGATTTCCTCTGGGGATAGCTGATCCTGGTCTGCTAAGTGGATTTCCTCTGAAGGTAGCAGAGGCTTCACCTCTCCAACGCTGTCCCACTTCCCTAGACCCAATGGGGAGATATGTTTCATTTCAGAAAGTTTCCTAGAGACCTGGAAAACACAGTTCTGGCTTGTGAAGGGGACAGAAGACACCTTAAATCATCTGCTTGCTGCAGCAGGAAGCACTTTGCTCATTCCTGGATTTATTACCAGAGATCAGTTTATAGGATGTATTAATGGGCTCCAAGAAGAGGAAGCACTTCAGTGCTTTCAGAAGTAAAAGTAGCATCAAAAGGAGCCCTGGCCCAAAGTGCTGCTGCAGGAGCTGTGTCTATGGGGTGGGTTGAGGGCTGTCCCCATTAGCTGGAAACCTCCATGGGGGAAATTTCCCCTGGGGATCTCCATCCCCCGTGGGAGATGATCAGAAAACAGCCCAGAAAGGTGCCCAAGCCCGTACAGACATCACCATCTAGTGGTCCTTAACACCAACAGCCTCAAAGCAGCCCAAAACGTGCAGGTTCAGCAGGGTTGGAGCTATTGCTGCTTGCGAATGTAGCTGAGGGCAACCACTGCCTTCACCACTCACCCCAGGAGGTACCTCTGGTTGCTCACGCTTCTTTATGCTGCCCAACAGTGACACAGCCCTGGGTTTCTGGGATAAAGCCACTCCAGGAGCTGCTCTTCATGGTCCTGCAAGGAGCCCTGCTCACTGGCATCAAGGGGCAGTGAACTTGAGCTAAACAGGGATCTTGCCTTGTCCCACGGCTCAATGGGAAATGAGGATCTGCTGCCTGAACCGCACACATGGCATCACTCTGGTTTCTCTATCATCGATGTGGGACAAAGGATTTCAGAGGAGCAAACACAGTTGAAATGGATGAGGAGAAGCAGAGTTACCTTCTCGCTCCAGCACGGCCTCATCCTGCTTTCCTCCCACCTCACTGTACTGCCTCACGCTCACGCTGGACATTTTCTTCCTACTAAGGGAGCAGACAAGGAGCAAGTGTGAGATGTCCTTCTGTCTTAGGGACCCAGATCACCCTTAGAGAGCCTCAAGGGTGGGACTGGCTCAACCTGAGATGGTCCCTTCATTACCTGTCCTGGGTTGTGACAGCTGTCCTAGGGATGCTGGGGGCTCTGGGCTGTGATGCATGGGAAATGCTCCCCTTGATATTGCTGGCCACTGGGACTTGCTGCTGCGGCTGGTCCTGGCTTTCACTTGTTGTCTTCTGTTTCTTCTTGTTCTTTATCTTGTTCTTCTTGTTCCATAGCGGCCATTTAGTTGGTAACAGATTGAAGGAAGAGGGGGTCTGGGGGCAGGTACATCCACACCATCAAACACTGCCTGAGCATATGCTGAGCCCAGGGAGGGGGATGAGAGGGACCCATCAGCCTCTATCTGGGGGGCCTCTGGAGGGTCCCCAGCTCCTGTGCAGGAGGAGTCCACCCCAGGCTGGGCCACATCAGGATGCTCAGATCAGATCCATCTCCAGACCAAATCCTTGTCTGTGCTTTCAGGATAATATACAGACATACAGCCCCTGGCCTGACCCAGCTGCATCCCTGGGGATGAGGGCTGTGTGTGTGGGTGATGGGCACATAGTTTTGGGGTGCAGGCATCCTTCCAAAACAGCTCATGTGGATGTGTGTGGGGCCCCGTGCTGCCCACCCTCACCTGTGTTGCCTTTTGTTCTCCTGACACATTCTTTCTGCGTGTCACCCGCCTCGGTGGATAACTCTCAACCATCAACAGCAAGCAGCATTGGCCAGAGTCTCTGCAACATTGACAACATTCTCCATCACCCTTCCCTGAAGCCCTGCAGCTTTTCTGCCTTTTGGACAAGCAGGGAACATAAGGAGACTGAAACACAGGCAAATGTGGGCTCCTTCCATTCAGGGAGGCACCCCCTCACTCACGTAGACGCCCCAGTGGATTTCGACGTCCTTCTGGATATGGAGGTCCTGCTGGATGCGGGTTTCTTGCTCAGTAAGGATTTCTCGCTGCATTTGGAAGTCCTGCTGGAGATCTTGCCGTGATTGTGGACATCAGCCAGTGTGGGGCCTGATGGGGCTTCTGAGCACACAGATGCATCCTGACTATCCTGAATTTCTGTTAAGCTATCTTGTGGTGCCTGTGGCAGGGCCTCAGTGGCTACAGGCTCATGGGAATCCAATGGCTTGCTGGAATCCATCCCCTCCTCAACCCAGCCCTGTAGTAACAGGGACTTCAACCCTGTTCTGGTCCCCTGCAGCACCTTGTGTTCTGATGTCACAGAGCGCCTGGTAGGCAACATTCCGAGGCTCAGCTGTGCACCACCTGCAAGCTGTTATAGGGTGTGATGGGGCACAGTGGGATACCTGGGGCACAGGGAGGCACAGGGATGGGGACAACAACCTACCCATAGCCCTGCACAGGCTGGATGCATCCCATGGGAGGGACTGGGCTCAGTGGGTGCAGTTCCCAGAGTGGGTGACTGCTCTGTACCCCAGGGTGACCCACAAGCTCTGCAGCATCATGGAGAGGGGACCCAAACCAAGCGCTGCTTCAGGGCAAACACAGAGGAATGGGGTGAAACCCCTGCACTGCAAACTCCCTCTCCACTCAGCCAGCCAGCTCGGTGGTCTCATCCTGCTCCTTTGTGTTGTAGCCTTGAGCATCCCTTTGCCTTCCCCTCAGCCCACCCTGCAGTTGAAGCGCTTCTCCTGGGGGTAAATCCAACCCAATCCAACTCCAAAGCACAGTTGGGTGCTGGGACGCCCTCTTCAACCCCGAGTGCAGCCGCGGGCACCGAGTGCTGCCCTGAACCCTGTGGTCCAGGGTGCGGGGCTGAGGGGGGGAGCAGAGAACCAGGCAAAACGCTGCTTTGAAGAGTGGCCGCTGGGTGTCCCCGCAGCCCCGTGCCCAGCTTTCATAGAGCCACCACAGCATCACAGCCTGGTTTGGGCTAAAGGGACCTTAAAGTTCCTCCAGCTCCAACCCCTGCCACAGGCAGGGTCCCCTTCCACTGGAGCTGCTTGCCCCAAGTCCCTGTGTCCAACCTGGCCTTGAACACTGCCAGGGATGGGGCAGCCACAGCTTCTCTGGGCACCCTGTGCCAGCGCCTCAGCACCCTCACAGGGAAGAGCTTCTGCCTAAGAGCTCAGCTCAGTCTCCCCTTGGGCAGGTTAAAGCCATTAAATTACAGCAAGGAATAAAGAAAGCAACCCCCCCCCCCAAACAACCACTGGAAGGAAATGTTGACCACCACCTGAATGTGTTCTCTGAAGGGCTGGAATTACCCCTAGGAACAAACTCATTTCAAGCATTACTAAGCATTCAAGCATTACTAAGAGCAGCATTTCCCTCTTCCAAAAGCCATTCTCATACACTCAGCAGGCAGGTGGTGATGCTGCCCTCCTCCACCATTCACCCTGGGTGGAAACACTTAGCGCATCTTTGGATTCACTTAGCCCATAATAAGTGAAACAAAAAGGAGCCTTACAGGAGGCTTTGCTCTCCCCAGGAGCCACAATTCACCCTCACCCTGCTTTGTTTGACATCTTTTATTGTATGGATGGTTATTTCCATGGTGTGAATCACTGCTGCTCTGGTGCTGCCCATCCAACCCCTGCCCCTGCTCCTACACAGCCAGGGAGCAGGGACACGGCCACCACCAGCTCAGGCAATTGGGGCCCTCGGGACTAGCCCCACACCAGGCACTGATGCAATTTTAGTGCAATCAAAGGGGATGAAGCTACCCCTTAGAGCCCCTGTGCTCTCCCTGGGGTAGGGCAGCAAGCACTGTTACAGCAAACTCTGCTATCAGGACATTGCTTTGTTTTTCCCAACAGGACAACAGCTCCAGGCAGCAGGACACGACCTGAATGGTGCCTGCTCCTCTAGAACCAGAAAACCAAGCTTGGTGCAGTTACACAGCCCAAAAAGCACAGCAAAGGAAGAAAGGTGGCCAGGCTCAGGGGTAACGGGCAGCACAGTGTTCCTGAGGCTGCTGCCTGTGCATCTGTGTGCGTTGTGGAATGGAGACAGTGGAGGGGGACATGGGGAGCTCAGCACCAGCCCAGGGGCTGCAGCTGGAACCAGCACAGCTGATGCTACATAGGGTTGGCCAATGGTGGAACATGAAAGGAAGGGCACCACGATGCTGGGGCGCTGCTTTACAGCATCCTGGGCCAGAGTATTGCCTGAAAGACAGGGCTGATGGGTTGCTTGAGCAGTGTCCTCAGTCCACAAAGCCAAGGGATGGCTCCTGTACCCAAGAGGTCCACATCTGTCCAGTGCACGAAAAGATGCTCGGAGCAGGCAGAGCTTCACCAGGAGGAGATGACAGCTCAGCACTTGGTTTGAGCATCTGCTCTTGAAATCCACCTGGCCCAATGAGCACCAAAGGGTTAACAAACTGGCCAGGCAGACAAAGTCCCGTTTCTCCATGTTCAGTGTATGGAGGGGCCGCCGGCTCCTGCGGGGCGACCCACCGAGGTAAGGACGAGAGGTTTGCCATGGAAAGCACATCCCTGCAGTTACAGGGCTCTGGAGGCAGTCGAGGGGTTGTTAAATTACACACAGACATTCACACACACACAAACACACTTGAGCTCTTCTGTAAACTGGACTCCAACAGAGCACACAGGGTGATCCCATGGCAGCGCTGGATGCGGCATCCTCAGTTCCCGCGGTACGTGATGTTGGTGAAGGTAGATGTAGCCTCCTTATATAAAGGGTTGTGGCCCTGGAAGAAGAAGGAGAAGTAGAAAGAACATCATCATTTTGTGCTTGGCATCAGCATTCATTCTACTTTACAGCTGGGAAAACTGAGGCACCAGGTCAGCATTGAGTGGTTGACCCATATCTTCTCCACTCAAAGCTTCAGCCCATGAGGTTTCATGGGAGAGCAGGGAGAAGCTGCTGTGGAGGAGGAAAAAGGCAGCAGGAGCTCCTGAGAGAATCACCCCATGCCTCTCCATCCCTTCCCTCTGGGGAGAGGAGGAAGTGAGGGACAAGCACTGGTGCTATCCCAGCCCTTGTGCTCTGGGTGCCTCAGTTCTTCCAGTATCCCATGGCAGGAGGGACTTTCTGCCTTGCTCACAGGATGGAAGCACTGGTGTGGGCAATGAGTAAGAGGGTCACGCTGGTGACAATGCTTGGGATAAGCCGGAGGTGGGAAAATCATGTGGGACATGTGCTATCACCCATACACATCCTCTGGGACCACATTGGAAGGGGTGTCCAGGTTGGGCAGTGTCACCCTGAGTCCTTCGCGCTTCATAGGGGGATGGAGCAAGCTGGTCCCTAAGGACCATGCCCTGGGACCACAGACAGCAACTGGGCTCTTATGCTGGGAGCACTGGGATCCAGGGACTCCCGACCCACTGGTCCTCACCGTGTCCCACTTGGCCCTGGCCTTCTCCTCCTCGAAACGGGCGAACTCCCGGCGGTCGTGGATGGTGATGAGGAGCTTCCAGATGAGCAGAGCAGCGAGGCCGATGAGCAGGATGGCGCCCGTCACCGAGAGCAGGACCACCAGGACATCCGGCCCCTTCGGGCAGTCTGGAGGAGGGAGAAGGGCAGGGTTGGAGAGGCTGAGCTCTGGGGCTGCCTGGCCATAGGTACATGGAGCTGCTCTGGACTTAGGAGGGCTTCATCCTGCTCTGTTAGACAGCAGGAGCCTCCCTCCTTGAGCACAGCAGGTTCTGCATAGGAGGATCCCATCCATGGGATGCACGTGCTGAGAACCTCAAGCTCCTCTCTGTAGGGTGGGCTGCAGCCCTGCTGAGGGCTGCTTCCATGGCCCTGCTTTGGAAGGATATCCAACCCCCAGATAAGACCCTGAGGTCTCTGGAGACCCCAGGGATGCTCTGCTGTATCCCAGCCCTGGCTAATAGGAGCCAGCTCCTATCTGCTTCTCAAGTAGCATCACCCCATGGAGCGAGAAGCAGGATGAGGGCAGTGGGAAGGTTTAGCCCCCATCCTTGGCCTCAGTGCAGGGTGTGAAATAACCAAGAAGAGGTGGGGAAACATGAGACAGAGGCAGGAAATCACACCCTGTGGCATGGAGCAGGGAACAAAGCAGCTCTTTAACCTCCCTCACAGCCCCTGAACCTGGCTGGGGTGGGAGGTACAACAGGCACTCAAAGCATAGATTCAATAGGTTGGAAAAGAGCTTTAGGATCAAGGCCGATCTCCCCACTTAGCACAGAAACCCAGCACTGCTCCCTCTGCATCCCTCCAGCTGGCTCTTACCGGGCTCCTCGATAACGTAGAGGATGGACTTGCCGCTGGAGTCCTCATAGTACTGGAACCGCATCACGCAGTCGTTCTCATCCTTGTAGGTGCAGTTCACAGCATCCTTGCCCCTGTCAACTGTCACAGTGAGAGGTTCAGAGCCCCCCAGGTTAGGGGGCTGCCCATGGGGAGGGGGAATGGGTGGTGGACGCAGCCTCCCCCATTCCCACTCTTCAGGACAGGGGCTGGGGCTCTCTCTTACTGAGCTCCTGCACGGTCTCGATCTCATCGCGGCACATGCGGCTGCAGGACTGCTGCTCCACCAGCGTCCCCCGCTCAAACTTCTTGCACTCCACGCACTCCCTGAGGGAGAGGAGAGCAGAGAGGAGCCGTGAGCTCCCCCGTGCTCACACCTTGCACCTCAGGCAGCAGAAATCACTGCAGCCCCAACCCAGCCAGGCTGCTGGGTGTGAGAGCTCCTGCTGCCACTGCTGCTGGCTCACTGGTGGGATACCATGGATGGTTTGGGTTGGAAGGGACCTCAAAGCTCCTCCACCTCCAACCCCTGCCACAGGCAGGGACACCAAGCCATCCCAAGCACTGCCAGGGATGGGTTCTGTTCAGCCTGGAGAAGCTGTGTGGAGACCTCAGAGCAGCTTCCAGTGTCTTAAGGATGCTGGAAAGGGGCCTTCATCAGGTACTGGAGTGATAGGACAAGGGGTGATGGGTTTGAACTGAAACAGGGGAAGTTCAGGTTAGATCTAAGGCAGAAGCTCTTCCCTGTGAGGGTGCTGAGGCGCTGGCACAGGGTGCCCAGAGAAGCTGTGGCTGCCCCATCCCTGGCAGTGTTCAAGGCCAGGTTGGCTTGGAGCAAGCTGCTCCAGTGGAAGATCTCTCTTCAGGTCCTTTCCAACCCAATCCATCCCCATGACCCACCCCAGCTCTGCCCTTGCTCACTTTTTGATGGTGCAGGCGTCCGGGCACGTGGGGCACTTCTCGCAGGTGTCTCCATAGGAGCCGGGCTGGGTGCAGTCACACTTGCCGCAGACGCAGGAGCCGTGGCCGCTGCACACCAGCCCGGTGCTGGACATGCACGTGTCCGTGCGCGTGGTGCAGTTGCAGTAGTCACCGGTCCAGTCCGGGTCGCACAGGCAGTCCCCGCAGCTGCACAGCCCATGGCCTGGGGACAAGCCAGAGGCCATCAGGACCCTTGAGCATCCCCATAGACCCCAATAGCAATCACCCAGGTGGGGCTGTTGGCATGGCAGGGCCCAAGATAACCCCTTTCTACTGTCCATGGGGTGGGACACAGCTCACATCAAACCTTTGCTGCAACCCCAATGCTCCTCTTATTCTACCCAAACAACCAACGCTGCCAGCAGCAGCAGCTGGAGATGCTCAATCAGATCCAGCTCTGAGTTAGTCAAGCTTGGCTTTGGCTTTTAATTTCAGATTGAGTCAGGTTAAACCCCCCAATCCTGCTTTATTCCCAGTCCCAGACCAGGCAGCAGAAGCTGAATGCTGAGAAAAGCCCAACAAGCTCTGCACTCTCAGACTGGCTTAATCAGACAGACAGACATGCTCAAACCCTGCCAAAGCCTGGGGCTATTTGCACTGTGGTTTGATTACAGCTCAAAGACACAGTAAGGGATGGGAATGCCATGGAGCCAGCACACGCTGGCCTGTCCCAAGCCCTGAGTGCACTGGGGCATGTCAGGAATGCTGCTCCCAGCAGGAGATAGGCCAGGAATGATCCTCACCACGGCCTGTGGGACAAAGGCATAAGAAATCAATGCGCAACCCCGTGAATGAGGACCTGTGGCTGAGTCACAGGAAAGCAGTGGCACACCGGGTGGCAACGTATGGAAACATAGAACCATAGAACAGTTAGGGTTGGAAAGAACCTTAAGATCATCCAGTCCCAACACCCCTGCCATGGGCAGGGGCACCTCACACTAAACCATGGCACCCAAGGCTCCGTCCAACCTGGCCTTGAACACTGCCTGGGATGGAGCATTCACAACCTCCCTGGGCACCCATTCCAGTGCCTCACCACCCTAACAGGAAAGAATTTCCTCCTTATATCCAATCTAAACTTCCCCTGTTTAAGTGTGAACCCATTACCCCTTGTCCTATCACTCCAGTCCCTAATGAAGACCCCCTCCCCACCATCCCTATAGGCCCCCTTCAGATACTGGAAGGCTGCTCTGAGGTCTCCACGCAGCCTTCTCTTCTCCAGTGGCTCAGTGGGGTGGGATGGATGCCAGCAGGGTCAGCCAGAGCAGGTTAATGAACAGCTCAGCCAGGCTGGGGCAGAGCATCAGCAGCGCTTGGGCAAACAGGCAGTGAGTGGTTGTGCAAACAGGTGGCAGGAACAGGTGCCCGGGGACACAGGGGCACCGACTGTGCAGGGTGAGGGAAAGCCCAGTGTTTCTGCCTGTGTTAACAGCAGGCTGATAAGGTAAAGCATCAGTCCCACTGACACTGGGCTGAGGGGCAGGTGAGGTCCCCAGAACTCCATCTGGGGACATACAGAGTGAGGCTGGGAACAGGGAAAGGGGTGGCTGCCCCCTCCTCATTCCTCCTTGAACCACTTTTGGGATGTCCCACAGTTTCATGCCCCAGTCTCGGGCACTGCCACTCCTCTTGCATCCGCTGAGAGGATGGGGTAGAGCCTGGGGGTTCACTCAGAGCTCCAGTGCTTACTGGAGAAGTGGATGGGAGAAACCCTCTATGGGGAAGAGGCACACCAGGACATCTGAAACCACTGCTGGGACGGGTGTCCTACAGAGAGGGACTCCTTCCCCAGTGCCTGGCGCAGGAGGAGAACCCAAGGACCTGATTCTGTCTCCCCAGTGAGGAGAGAAGCAGCAGCCAGGGCTGGAGCAGGGCAGTCTGGTAGCACATGGAAGAGAGGAGAGGAGATGCTGCAAGGCCAGCGAGGGAGAGGATTCCCTTCCCCAGTGCTTTTGCCAACAGGGAGTCCTCAAGACCTGAGTGGAGGATAAATGCCTCTCTCCATCCCTCTCCCTCCACCCTGGGGTTTCCTCCCACAGAACAATACCTCTGATGTGTTGGGTGCTGTGATTCAAGCAGGGTCCCTGCCCTGCACACCCCTGGGTGCCCACCAGCCCCCTTGATGGGAGTTCTGAGTCTAAGCGAGGACTGAGGTCTGATTTTAAAGCCTGTAACCCAGGCATAGGAGGTGACCCCAGCTGCCAAAAAGGGAGTAATCCCTCTGGCATTGCTTCAGACCCAGGGCTGGTCATGGAATGGTTTGGGTTGGAATGGACCTTAAAGCTCCTCCAGCTCCAACCCCCTGCCACAGGCAGGGACACCTTCCACTAGAGCAGCTTGCTCCAAGCCCCTGTCTCCAACCTGGCCTTGAACACTGCCAGGGATGGGGCAGCCATCCCCTCAGCACCCTCATAGGGAAGAACTTCTTCCTGATGTCTCATCTGAATCTCCCCTGAATAAATCTGAACCCATCACCCCTAGTCCTATCGCTATTCCCTTGTATTGTGGTCCAGGCAGAGCCATTGCTGAGCAACAAGCCAGCGGCGGGGACAATGCATGGGACACCCCCCCAAACTGCTGGTGCCACCTTTCCTCATGACCTTGGGCGCCGTGAGCACCTTGATCCGCTCCCTGCCCATCACTCACCCGAGCACATCTGCCCCTTGAAGCGCACGCAGGAGAAGTCATCGCACTCGCAGTACTTGCCCGTCACCTTCCCGAAGTCGCTGCTGTGGCACACGCACTGCCCGCAGATGCACTCCCCGCGCTGGCTGCAGAGGGGCTGGCCCGCCCGGGGGCTGCAGTTGTCCTGCTGCGAGGGGTTGTACTCCTCCTCCGAGCACTCGCAGTGCGAGCCCAGGCGCCCGGCGTTGCAGCGGCACACGCCGCACTCCAGGGTGCCGTTGCCTCCGCTGCAGGAGGAGCTGTTGGCCTCCGCTTGGCTCTCGCAGGAGCAGTCGCAGTCGAAGTTCACCACCACGGTCAGATTGTCCTTGAAGCCCACGGGTTTGATGGTGAAGGACTTCTCCCGCTCCCGCGGGCATCCCCGTACCTTGGCCTCGATGCTGAAGCTCACCTGGAGGGCGAAGGGGAGCATTAGGCCATCAGTACCATCAGCACTGTGCTGTGGTACCCAAGCTTAGGGAGCCCAGGAATGGGACCCACCACATTCCGTTGGGCTTTTCAGGGCTGTCCCAACATGGTTTGGGCGTGTCACAGTAACCAGACTGAATCCCATTCACTGCACCCAGCAGCCTGGCCTGAGCTATTGAACTATAGTGTTTGCATCCAGCAGACTCAGTAAAGCATCTTCATCCTTGCTGGACCCCTCTTTCCACTGGAAAGATCCCCGTATTACCAGGGAGGTGGTGGGGCAAGGAGATGGTGGTGGTGGAAAGCATCAAGCTCTACACGGAGGGGGAGAAAAACCAAGTCCATAAACAGGATCCTCACCGTGTCCCCAATCTTGAGCCCTACACAAGACTTGAGCCCAGGGATGACCTCGTCGTTGAGGCAGGTGGCATTGAAGGCCAGGGACAGCTCTTCAGGGAGGTCACGCACCTCCAGTTCCACCTTGGAGCGGATTTTCTAGGTGAGGAGAGAGAAGGGTTGAAGGTGACAGCAGAGGCTGGGCAGGGACCAGCCCCTGGGATGGGGCTCCCCTTCCACCACGGTGCTCCCATGCACACGGGAAGGGAGCCAAGAGCTTTGAGTCTTTCTCAGGACTTGGCTACATCATTCCCCATTGGGAAATGCCTTCGAGGATGGGAAGGGGCAGGCAGTGACCACAGTGACCTCCCTTCCCCAGCATTCCCGCACGCACGGGTGGAGGCAGATGCTCACAGCTGGCCCAGGAAGGATGCTCAGGGCTGGGGGAGCTGCCAACTCTGTGTGGGCTGTTTGCAGTGTGAAGCAGTGGCTATTTTGGGAGGGAGAGAGCTGTGTGGGGCCATCACGTTGCACACTCACCCCATAGGAGTCCACTATGAGCTGCAAGACGTTGCTGGAGTCTCTGGACAAGGTGCCCACGGTTGTGCCTGGGATCAGCTCACTGTAGTTCTGCAGGAATATCATAAGCATGGGTTGCATGTAACTTAGCCAAACCTGTCTGGGCACATGGGAGCTTCCCTATGAGCTTTGATAGGACAGGAGACCTCCAAGCTATATGGGGCCACCCATGGCCAGCTGCAAAGGATGCTCCTTGGGACTCACCACCCCCCTAAGAAGGTGGCTTTGCACAGGGGCTGTTACCTGGTAGAGGCCAACCACTGTATCTGTCACAGCAAAGATCAAGTTGATGTTCTTCTGGGAGAGCTTCTCAGTCATCAGGCCCAGAGAGGGATAGTCCTGGGGAGGAGGAGAGGCTGTACCCAAAGAACATGTACCCCCAACCACCCTGGTCCTCATCATGCTCTCCAGCCATGGCTGGATCACCTCTGCCATCCCATGGGGTTCTTCAATAGGGTCTCCACAACCCCATCGTGGAGGTTGGGATTTACCAGTGTGGTGGAGGCAGAGTAGAAATTGTCCTTGTCAATGTGGCACTGGGCATCATTGGGCTGCACGATGCCGGCCAGCCTGCCATCCAGCGCGATGTGGGTCTTGGCATCCGTGGTGAAGACGAGGAGATGGGAAGCATCATTCCTCCAGCCAATTTTCTCCTGTAGTGAAAGACAGCTCCTGGTTATGCAGCAGCCCTGTGTGCCAGCACCCTGCCGCTGCCTTTGCATGCCCCAGGTCATAGATATGGGCTGCAATCCCTCCCATTCCCAGCGAAATCAAGGTGGAGGCACAAGGTGGATGTCCCTTTTGGGCTGGTTACTGCAGGGCTGACATGGGATCATTATGCCCCATCCCTGGCAGTGTTCAAGGCCAGGTTGGACGGGGCTTGGGGCAAGCTGCTCTAGTGGAAGGTGTCCCTGCCCATGGAAGGGGATTGGAATTGGATGAACTTTATGGTCCCTCCTAACCCAAATCATTCCATGATTCTGTGATAATCAGTTCCCAGGTACCTGATCTCCTCCTCTCTCCTCCCAGGACCATGTAAGGGCCCTGCTCTTCCCTTGCCTTGGCTGTTGGTCTAGAAACATTCAGGTTGAATGCTCATCCTCTGCAGATGTGAGCCACACAGCAGCACCACAGGGTTTATGTTCCTTACCTGGTGGGCTTGGATGGCCTCTGCCAACCCACCAGGGCCAACCCAATGAGCATCTCCCAAGCCCCAGCCAGGCCTTCTTGCCCCTTACATCGCACACGGTGGCCTGGATGATGGCATCGAAGCCACCCTCGGGCGCGTCGCGGTTCCTTGAGACACTCTGCTTCCGCACCTCCTCGTTGAAGCGGGTCACCTCATCCGTGAGCGACAGGACGTGCTTGTACCCAAACATGGGCAGGCAGGTTTCCCCGATCCTGCAGGGCATCAGGCGGGGCATGAGGATCAGATCCCACCTCCCATGGGCCCATCCAGGATGCTTGGAGGGACCCAACCACCCCAAGAGCCCAAGGACACAGCCAGAGGCTGGTGAAGCAACCACATGTCCTAGAGAAGGGCTCCGTCCTGCTGGAAGTTTTAGAAGCCACTTTCTTACTCATAGCAAGGGTTGATGATGGCTTCTGGAGGGGAGATGTACATGTAGGGGGAAATGGGCTTGTCCACAAAGGCTCCAAAGCCGATGCGTAGGTTGCTGGTGAGCTTGCGCATCTCACTGGCCAGCTTTGTGCCCAGGTTCTGGATGTTCCTCAGATCGTCCTTCATGGAGTTGGACAGGTCCATCAGGTAGTAGATGTCCACGGGGTAGTCTTCCACTTGACGCACTTGGACACGGAAGATCTGGGAATCATCTGTAATGTGACAGGGAGTGAGAGATCCTCTCCTAGGAGGAGGAGGGGGGGATCACTGCAGGACTAGGGAGAAAAATCAACCTATGGGGTCAGCAGGAACCCAAGGAGACGGTTTAAAGCTTCTGGGAGGAGAACATCACACTGGTACACGAAGGGGCAAAGCCCTTTGGGCAGGGTGCTTGCACAAGAGATAATGGTGTGCACCTTGGACATGGCAAACGTGCTTACAGGTCCTGTTCTCCAAACCTCCTGCCCAGAGCTGACCCCCACAAGCTGCATGAACAGCATGACCAACACGCACTGGATGGAGTGAGTGAAAGACCCAGCGTGTGGATACAGGGAATACCAGGGCACTGTATGGCTGCTTCAGACTTCCCTGAGCAACCAAGAACTCCAAGCATCTCCCAAGGCCTTCCCCATCCCTGTTCCCTCCTTCTTGGCTCCTTCCAGCTCTTCCATGTCGTCACCACACAGTCAGGGGGCCCAACTTAGGGCTCAGAGAGCATCTGTTTCTCCTTGTAGAGCTAAAACCAGGACTCTGAGCTTGTGGGCCATGGGCTACTTAAACCCTTTAACATTTGGTCTTGATTCATGAGTGGAGGCCAATGACTCATGCCAAGCCTTGGTTGGACAGAGGTCAACTGGGGTTTTCTTGTACTGCCTCCAAGAAACAGGGACTTCAGCACTGCACACTATCTGTTCCTCTCCAGAGCACCACAACTACCTGCCTCCTGCCAAATATACCTATAAGGGCCACTTAGCAGCTACATGTCCCCATCACATGGGGTCACTTCAGACACACAGGACATACAGGGTGAGGACTCTTGTCTGGAAGGCCCAAGAATGTGCAATCAGCCACCAATATCTGGGCTTTAATGAGCACAAGGGGCCAAAATTGTTTCTGCTGAGACTGGAAGAGTCATCCATGAATGGATGGCAGGGAATGGGCTGCACATGGGACAGAGCACAGTGATGGTACCACTTGCTCCACATCCCCAAACTGGTTTTGTGACCCTAGGAGAATGATTCCTGTTAGTTCTGCCTCCTGCTTGGCATCACTTGGAGCTCCTCCATGCTGGCAAACGACCATCACAGTTAATTGTCTCCAGCCTGTCTGAAACAAGCCTAGGGAATCACAGGGACCTGTTGGCAACCCAACCCTTCCAGCTGCTCTACAGCTTGTTAGACATGAGCTGACCTCCACCAAAGCATTTAGAGTACAGCAGCAGAGGCCAAGGTCTAAATGGCTCGATAAAATAAGTCCATGTGTTGTTGAAGTTGGTGTATCCCATCCTGCCCATTGGGATATGTCAGGGTTGAGCCAGGAGACTCATCAGCTTGCAGACAGCCCGGCTGCCCAGCAGGGATGCTCCTGGAGGGTTTGGTGCAGCTCCCAGCTTGGCGTTGCCCCCCATGGACACAAGAGTTGGTGAGGCAGTGATGGCTCACTCATCACTTGAGTCCTTTGAGTTATTCCCACTGCATCCCCCCTTCCCACGGCAGTTGGAGGCTCTCACCTGGCCGCAGGTTCAGCCGTATTCTTTGGGGGCTCATCTGGGTGGTGATGGAGCTCCCTGAGCCCTTGTCACTGAGGGGTCTGGCCTCCAGGATGGTCACGCTGCTGCTGGGGGACTCGATGTAGTCGTGCCCGCAGCCATTCTCCAGGAGGTTGGTGAGCAGGTCACAGCGAGGGGACCCTTGTGCCAAGACCTGTGGGAAAGGCCCATGGTCAGGAGCCAGGCTCCTCCAGGAACCCCCATGGTTACAGCACAAAGAGGGCCCCCTTTTCCACTGGAGAGCTCCTTTAGCACACCTAGTGCAGGAGACCAGGATAAGAGGTGCTTTGGGGCACGGTGCCTCTGCTCAAGGGAGATGCTGCACAAGTCCTGCAGGGGTTCAGGGCAGGTTTTGGTCTGTTGTGCTCTGGTGGAGCCCAGCAACCCCTGCCAAGGAGTGAGGGAGAACAGATCCCTGCCAAGCGCACTCCCAACTGCTGGCAGATGGAGCCCCAGGTTTGGATTTGGCCAAGCTAAAAGGAAAGCCCCTTTACGTGGGATAGCCAGAAGACGGTGAGGAGGGATGTGAACATGGCAGGGGATGAGGATCAGAGGCTGGGACTTTATTATATCCTCAGCCATGGCAAAACACGACCCACCTTTTCCCACTTTAATCTACTGTGCCTTTAGAAACCCATCTGTTTCAGCCCTGATCCCTGCTGCGGGGAGCCCATTGCATGAAGTGATGCTCAGTTCCTGTGCAAGAACACTTCAGGCTTATCTGGAGCTCTCCAGCTTCCTGCAGGATGGAGCCAGCCAGGAGAAAGGAGAACCAAAAAAGGAGTGAAAGAGCAAAAAGGGCTGTGGTAGAAGCCATCAAGGGCCGGAAGCCCAACGTGTGGAGTCACCATGGGGTCTGGCCTTGTCCCTCTTTCCTAGAAAGCTCTGGCTCCTCGCCCTTATCACAGCACATTCAGAAGGGCTCCGCTCGCTTTAGCTTCTCACGGAGACAGATATGGGAGGAATTTCTTTCCCAGCCCAACGCTGCCAAGAGGCTCCCTCCCCTCCATCTCCTTCCCACAGCCCAAGCTCTCCTACATTCAAAGTCTACAGCAGATGACCAGCACAGCCTTTCCCTGTAGTAAAGTGGCACAAGTCCTGCTGGGGCTGGTTCAGCTGGATCCTAACTGCAGCCTCCCAGTGCTGGCGAGTTTCCCCATGCAGGACATCATCCGAGGCTGCCTGAACCCTGGAATGAATGTGTGTGTTTTATGCTGGCCAAGAGCCCTCTGGAAACAGTGTGGAGTGATGGCCAGAGAATACATCAGCAAATTCATCAGCAGACATGTTCCTGCAGCCTCCTGCTCCCGCTCTCACTGCCTGGCCAGCACACTGCTGCCCAAGAGGACAGCTCATCCCTCTCATTTTAGCTGCCTTGAACCCACCCAACCCCACAGGGCTCCCTGCTGCGGGAAGAGGTGCCTGGTTTACGCCACATCCCATCCATCACCACTTACATTCCTGTCCCAGGTGGAGAAATCACTGGAAAAGCATGAGGGTAAAGGCAGGCTGGGCTCTTGGGTGATACCTGGAGATGCTGGGAAACTCCCAGGCCACACAGCACCTTATGGGATTAACAACATCATTCCAGCTTTGAGAGTCCCATGGAGATGCTATTTAACCCCTTACCCTGGAGCCCTAAATATGATGATGGATCCAGGACTCACAGGAGCCTCCCCAGCAACAAAACTACTGCAAAAGGCAAAGGAAAAAGCCACTGTAGCACTAAAGGAGCACTTGATGATATGGTTTGTCGCCTGCATCCCTTGTGAGTGAAGGCAGGACCAGGCAGGGTACTGGCAGAGCCAGCTCCATTCCCAAGCTCCCAGCACAGGCAGCTGTGGGAATTCCTGCATCCCCAGGACATCTCCATTTTCATGCCCAAGGCAACCACATAGAGCATCAGCTCTGTGCAGGAGAGAACCCAAAGCAGAGAGGCCACAGCAGATTAAGCTAAAACCTTCCAGCAGCTTCTCTAGAACAAACCCCTGGTCCACCTTTGCCTCCCCTGTTCCTCCAAGGCAACCAGAGGGGGTGAGGCACTGGAAGATGTGTCCCAACAACCTCCCAAACGATTTTAAAGCCACATCTCGGTGTTACAGGTTGGCTGCCATTTCCCAATGGAAAAGGGAAGCGGATCTGTTGGTAAAAAGCAGTCAAACTTCCTGAAAACTGAATAAAACTCAATTCCCTCTGCATCAGCCTCAAGAAACCACAATGAAAACCTTCTCTTGTCCAAAGGCAGGCTGGAGCAGCAGATAAGGGCTGCTTGGGGAGGCCATGTGGGTGGGAAAGGAGCAGAAGGAGCACAAATAAGGACACTTCCCCTTTAAAAAACAGAGGGATGGGGGGAGGGGGGGGGCACAGTATCAGAGACCTCCCCACCCCTGGGAAATTAAACAAACCCACGCAGAGAGCCCTCATGCGCTCTGTTCAGCCAATGCGGTCCAGATGTTGGAGGCAGAGCCCGGCTCTCCGGGGGCCGGCTGCTGGCGGCTCCCTCGCTGCTCGTCACGTCCATGAGCAGCCATGGAAAGATTTCCTTTTTTGGGAACCTTTGCTGATGCGGAGGAAAAACCGAGCCCCGAGCATCACCGCTCCCAGGAGCAAACCCAACCCCATTCCTGCTCCGGAGCTGGGAGCGAGGCTCCTTATCACACCCCTTGCTGGAGGCAAGATGGGGCACAAGCATCTTCACTCGCACCAAGAGCCGATGGGCACAGCGAGCAGAGGCATTCCCTCCACACTGAGCCCAGAGCATCGGGCCATGCAGGCACAACCCAGCAGCGTTTTCCAGCTGGGATTGCTTCCCCCCAGGTCCCGCTGGCACAATCTCAGCCGGGGGAAGCGGGGCTTTCATGGGTGGGGAAGCAGAAAGGAAGAAAAGCTTTGCCAAAGGAGGAGGTTTCATCACCTCTCCCCGTCCCAGCCTCTCCTCTGCCCTGGGGCTGCTGCTCCATCCAGTTGTGAAACTCCCTCCCATTACCTTCTGATGGACTAACCCCAGGGCAGCATTTTTGAAGGGGAACGTGGCAAATCATGGGGGCTCTCACCTACCCAAACAGAGCCACGACTCAGCTCTCACATCCTCTTTAGCCCAAACCCAGGCACTTTGTCTTCCTTTCCCCTTCTTTCCAACAACAAAAGGCTCTTAAACCCAAATCCTAGCTTCTAATCAGTGATTTCCCTTCTTCCCCCCAGCCTCCTTTCCTTTTCCAGCCCTTACAGCAATTAAGCTCCTTTAGCCTTAGTAAAGTGCTTAGTAAAACACTTTAGCCTTAGTGCTTTACAAGGGGTTATCAAGGAAACCAAAAGTAAACGAAGTTTGAAATGTACTTTTCCTAACAAAGTGAATTTCCAGTGGGAACACCAGCATCTCCCAGCCAGCTCCTGCCAATGCACTCAGATAAGGGACAGGTTTTCAGAGCAAGGCAGGAGAGGGCATCCCAAGCTGTGGTCTGAGCCGGATGCCACCAATAAACACGTTTAGACACGGTGGGAACAGATGGAGACCGAGGTTGCGGCTGTAACACGGGGAGCAGCGCCCATCCCAAAGGCTCATCCCTTCCTCCACATCCCTGCCTTACCTCGGCAGAGCACCAGGCACAGAGGGGGCTCACAGCCAGGCACTGCTTGCAGGAGTTCACCCCGCGGGTGGTGCAGATGTTACCCCCTGAAACAGGAAAACAACGCAGTTACATCCTGCATCCACATGGGTGCTGAAGTGTCAGTGCTCAGCCAGGCCCCCATCCCACCAGAGCTCTGCTCTAATCCTTTTCCTATCCCCCAAACCCCAGGAGCTGCCTCCATGCTCCTTTTATAACCTTGGTGCCAGCTGGGCTTCATCCTGCCTGGGATTGAGCATCATTTCCCACCTGCCAGCTCCTTAAAGGGTCCCTGCTTCCATCCTTTCAGTGCTGCATGTGTTGGAGTGAGGGGCATCTCCCCTTGTGCCTCCCTGCTCATGTTTTGGGGTACAGGGGTGAATTCCCAAGGGCACAATGTGGTACCTGCATCCCTGCCAGCGGCTGGGGAGCTGCTGCCTCTTCCCATCACCCCTGACCCAGTGTCGTCGGTGCCTTCTTGTGCACACACTAAACTCAGCAGCTGCTCTTGGCCCAGGTTCAGACACAGGGAAAGGAGGGGAGGGAAAGGGCAGGAGTCCAGGAATGTGCTGGTAACCAGTTGTGGTTGTGCCGATTCCCTGGGCAAAGGTTGGGCTCTGTTGGTGGAAGGGGCAAGGGAGACTTTGGGTGATGCTGGCACCAGTCCTGCAAGCCGGGGGGGGATTGAAGGGACCCCAAATGACAGCAGGAGCCCTGGGCAGCTCCAGTGCCTGCAGTGGCAGAGGCAGAACCATGGGGCTCTGTGGTTCCTGCTGTCAACGGCTGATGTGGCTGCGGTGGCATCACCCTTCCTCCTGGAGCACAAGCATCTTAGGGCTTGGTTATGGGAATGCTGCAGCCTGGGGAGCCCAGGAGCATGGAGCGGTGACTGCTGGGGTCTCCCCTTTGCCCCGTGTCCTCTTGTCCCTGCCCAGGGCTTTCCCAATGTTTCTGAGCACAGGAAATGCAACACAAAGCAGAGAGGAAATGGTGAAACGGTGTCGTCAGGTCCCTGGGCAGAACCACAGTGACGGCAGCGCGTGTTCATGCCCCTTGGCACGCAGCCTGGGCCTCATGTGTGTGCTCATCGTGTGTGCACACATGTCGCACCTATGTGCATCTGCATGAGGTGGTGTCACAGGCTGAGCTGGACACGTTGTGGCTGCTTGGGGATGTGCCCCATGGCCATGCCACCTCCCTGCTTGTCCCACACAGGGTGACTACATTTAAAGGCTAAACCCCAATTGCCCTGCTCAGCACCAGCTTCAGGGTGGCATCCATAGGGACACTCTGCAGCATATGAGGAGGGGCAGGATTATACATTTAGCATTGCCTAAAGGAGCAACATGTTGCTCCGAGGACATGCAGGGATGCAGAAGCAGCATCACACCCTTGAGCAGACAGGATATGAAGCTGGGGCTTGGTATGAGGAAGGCAAAGGGCTCTTAGCACTGCCAGCTCCTGCTGTGTGTGGAATCCCTCCTGCCTTGCCAAGCAGTGGTGGCTGCAGCCCAAGCCCATGTGCCTTGGATTTGGGCTATGCCCTGGAATTGCCCTTAGGGACAAGCTCAGAGGATGAACCACCAGCAGTGCTCCTGACCTCCTTTACTTAATGCCAGTGTGGGGTTTGTTCCCTCAGGGGTGGGTTTGAGCTTGGCCTAGGGTGGGATGCACTGGTCCATGTCCTCTCTTGAGCAGGTTTCCCCTGTGACTTGAGCCGAGTGCCTCAGTTTCCCCTGTGCAGCGTTAACCCTGGGCTGCACTGAAACATGAAGTGAGGATCTCCAAGCTTGGGTCTGCCTCCACTTCTCCTGCTGTGAAACCTGAGCTCTGGGGATAACGAGCCCCAGGTCTGTCCCTTTGGGCTGGAGAGCTCCTCTGCTCCCCAGCAGTCGGTATGCATTACCTCCTGCCTGTGTGCAGCCTCTGGGCTCAGTGCTTTCCTTCCCACCCCACAGCACAGGGGTCCTTGATCTGGTGCTCCCCTCTCATGCTGAGGATGTAGCCCCAGTGAAGCTGCACATGGGGTTAGATGGGGCTGCAGCCCAGAGGGTCCTGCAGGAGGGATGCTGCTATGCCTGAAGCTGCATCCACATCATGTCACCATGTCGTTGCTGCTTTGACCAGGGGGTCACTTCCTACCCCCAGACTCATGCAGCCCTCTGGTCCCCATGGGCTCCATTGCCCATGACTGAGACACATGCCCAGGGATGGAGGACCCTTCCCCAACCTGGGAACCTGGCCTCTGGGAAGGGGCCAAAATGCCCCAGTGCCAGTGGTGTTAGCACTGTTCTCACCATCCAGATGTGGCTGTTCCTGCTGTGAACAGGCAGCCTCAGCCTCTCACTGTGCAGAAATGTCTCTGCTTTGGCCTTTCCAGCTCTGCCTGTGTGAGGGAAGTGGGGAATGGGGACCTGGGATGGTGTAGGAGCAACAGCACAGGCAAAGGAGGGAGGAGGAGGATGCTGCATCCTGAGCCCACTCCAGGTTTGGTTGTAGAACTTCCCAAGCAGCGCTTCCCAGGCTCAGGACACCGCCTGGATGCAAGACCCAGCACAGCTTTTTGGGATTTGATTTTCCCAGCCATAAAACCTCATGACCCCAAGTGCTGTGAAAGCGGTTGGTCTCTCACAATGATCTGATCCTAAAGACTCAGGCTTTGAAAACAGAAAGAAATCCTAGCACATAAATACAGGGAAATGGGAGATGAACTGGGCAGCATGGGAACTGCTGGGGCAGCGATGTGGGATGATGCACTCGAAAAACCCCAGACGTCTGTGGCTCAGCATCACCCTTCCCCGGCTGGAGGAGCTTACTCAGCCCCCAAGCTGCACTCCAAGTAACCTCGACGCACCGCAGGAGCCAGGCACATGCTTTGTTTTTCCTCCCTCTGCCAAATGGAGCAAGAAAATGCCCACAGAAAACCTGATAATGATATTTTAGAGAACTCGATAAGGACACAGCGCATCCGGACATCCTGCTTGATGCAGCGATCGGGGCTTAGGCTCTGCCAATGGCATCCCGGGGCTCTGGCTTTTCTCTGACCCTCTCCCTGTCTGCAAGCATCATCCCAGGGAAGGAACAGCCCAAACAGAGCTCAGCTTCTTACAAGCACCGGTACACAGGACCAAAGAGATCACCCGTACAGCCCCAAACTGCAGCTCTATAGTCTCAATGGGCTGTTATCCTAGGTCCTGTATTGATGACAGGGATCAGGTAGGTCAGAGCCTCAGGCTGTTCCTGGGAATTCACCAAAGTCTGGAATTCTTTAGACAGAACAACGTTGCCCAAAGAGCCTGGCCTCGAAAACAATGGGACCCATTTATAAACCAGGAGCTGAAAACACCAATTCACAGCTGCAGGATTTTCTCTGAGCCCCGGGAACACACCTGGGGAGGACAGAAAACGCTTTTCTCTGCTCTTCTCCATGCTCCAGACGCTGGAAATGTTAAAGCTACAAATTACCTCTGTCTGAAATCACCTCATCCTAACCCCCAGTTCTTAAAAGCACCAGAATAGAGAAAAGAGAACTCAAGACATAAACGCACCCCCTGCCTTTAAACCAACCCGGCCACAGCGCCCAACCTGCCCCGCAAACTCTTCGTTGTGCATTTAGGAAGGACGGAGCCCAAGTCACACCCTGGTCCTCCCATTACAAACCCTTACCCGGAGCCAAACACAGCGGAGGTACAGAACACAAACTTGCCGCACCCAGCGTGGAAATAACTCCCAAACCACGTCCCGATCCTACAACACCTTTGGGGAACCCGCCTGGCGCCGACCCCTCCAAGACCCAACCGGTCTGAGCAGCTTCAGGCTGCCCGCTGCCCCCTCGGAGCGCTTTTCCCAGGGAGAAAGTGCTGGGATTTGGGGCGATTTGGGCCGCACAATCTCGGAATGACCCGGCTCGAAGCGCTCCCAAACCTACCCCAGGCGCCAGCAGCGCAGAGCGCGATGATCCCCAGAGCCACGCTGAGCTTTCCCATCTCCTCCTGCAAGCCCCGAGCGCGGGGGGCTGCCTGGACCGGCCCCACCGTGAGCGATGGGGAGCAGCTCGGGAGGCTTGGAGCAGCCCAGGAGATGAATCATGGGGCTGGGTGTGTGACACACGGCGAGCGGGGCCGGCCGGAGGGAGGAAGCGGCGCTGGCTCGTCACTCACTGGGGAGCCGCTCTGTGCCCCCCCCCGCGCTGCCGGCACCTCCTCATGCTTGGCTTTGCTTTGCTTCGCTTTGCTCCGTCAAGGACCTACTAAACGCTGGCAGTGAGAGCTCACAGCGCCGGTGACCTCCAGCCCTGGGGCTGGTAACAGGCTCTTTCCCATAGGCTCTTTTGCCTGGGTTTAACTCCTTGCAAAACCTTGCTCCCTCCTTCCTTTCGTTAACTCTTGCGGGAAAGGCAGCGCTGAGTCCCAGGCTTGAACGGGAGGTGAAGGTGTGGGTTCTCAGCTCCCGAACGGTGCAAGTGGGGCTGCTGCTGCTCGAACAGGGAGCTGAGTGAGATCCGAGCCTGGTGAGAGCAGCAGTTTGGGTGTAAACCTGGCCGTCACCACGGCAGGGAAGTTCGGACCTCATTTTCCTCTCGCTTGTATTGGTTTCCCCCTCTGTGTCCTCAGAACTTGCTCTTGTACTGAGCAAGGAGAGGGATTGTCCCCCCTGAAACAGCAGAGCTGTTTGTGGGTGCCTCCGGGGGGGGGTGGTGTTGATAAACTCTTGTTTAACTTGGAGGTGGGGAAACTGAGGCACTCAAGGTACGGCTGGGATGCAAATGAGAGAGAAGGGCTGCTTTCCCGGAGCCCAAGGATGCTCCCACCATGCATCGGGTTGGGAACAGTAATGGCCGAACTCTGGAGCAAGATGGGCCAACACACAGGACCATCAGGCATCAGAAACAGAGCTGATGTGTGTGTCTGATGGTGCTGGATGTGATGTGAGGGTCCTGTATGAGAGCCACAGCCCCACGTTCCCCCCCTACGAGAGGGGATGGTGCCTGGGAGGGTGAGAGCTGGGGACTCAGCCTCAGGAGCTGGGGATTTGGCTTTAAAAGTTGTTTCTGTGCCTCTTTTCTTCCCCACTCACCCCCATTCTCCCTCCGGGAGCTGCTGCCCTCCCGCGGCTGCGGGGGATCGTTTTCCACCTGATCCAACTGCATCCCAAGGGCTTATTGATGGGGATTTGGTAAAGAGCACCAGGAGAAGCCCACCGACCCTCCTGCAGCGTCCGAAAGTGCTGCTCCTTGGCTGGGACATCAATACAAACCCCAGAGCTTTCTGAGGGGCTCTTGGTCGTGCCCTGCTCATAGAATCCCAGACTGGTTTGGGTTGGATGGGAGCTTAAAGCTCCTCCAGCTCCAACCCCTGCCACAGGCAGGGACCCCTTCCACTGGAGCAGCTTGCTCCAAGCCCCTGTGTCCAACCTGGCCTTGAGCACTGCCAGGGATGGGGCAGCCACAGCTTCTCTGGGCACCCTGTGCCAGCGCCTCAGCACCCTCACAGGGAAGAGCTTCTGCCTAAGAGCTCAGCTCAGTCTCCCCTCGGGCAGGTTCAAGCCATTCCCCTTGGCCTGTCCCTACAGGCCCTTGTCCCAAGCCCCTCTCCAGGTTTCCTGCAGCCCCTTTAGGCACTGGAGCTGCTCTAAGGTCTCCCCTTCAGGAGCCTTCTCTTCTCCAGGCTGCCCCAGCCCAGCTCTCTCAGCCTGGCTCCAGAGCAGAGCTGCTCCAGCCCTCGCAGCATCTCCATGGCCTCCTCTGGGACCCCAGAGCCATCTCCCACTGCAGATCCCATTGGGTACTTTTAGTGCATCCCAGTTCCTGCTTTTCTTAGACTTCATGGGATGGGTTGATGAATTTGTTCAAGATTCTAGAGAGAAACGTGGGAGCCCTGCTTGGCTCAGCACCCGCCATGGATCCTCCCTGCCATCCATCTCACTGGTCCTCTTCACTAAGGGACTTATCCTGCCCTGTAGCTGCTTGCCCACACCAGCAGTGCTGCAAAGGCATGCACAGCATCACCGCATGCTCTGGCTCAGGAGTGATGGATGAGTGCAGCAGCCGGATCCACGCTCTGGCGAGTGGGAAGAGGCTGGAGCTGGAACCACCAGAGGGAGCAGAAACTCCTTCAGTTTGCGAGTGAGCGGAGAGGAGCTCCCACCCGGCCAGGGATGCTCTGGTTTCCCGGTGGGACTTTTCCTGGCCCTCAGGTCAAACCCGAGCAGATGCTCTTGCTCCATCAGGGCTTTCCACCTCCCTCCTGCACGCAGTTCTGCCTCAAACTGCCCTGAAAGAGCAGGCAGCCCTGCAGGGAGAGGAACTCCAAGTGCAAAAAGCAACAAGTAAACCCCAAACCAAATGGGTTTTGAGGCCCTGAAGTCACAGCAGCACAACAGGGCACAGGTCCAAGCTGGCTGAAAGGAAGATCAGTCGAGACTCTCTCTGCAAAGCTCCCCTCCATCCTCAGCCAGCCTCACGCTCCTGCCTTGGCTGCAGTTCATCAATCCTCATTTTAGGGCCATTAAAATCCCCTCCAGGGCTGGGCCAAGACAGCCAGGATGTGCACAGGTAAACCAAGTCCTCACATCGTGGCTCGGGGGTGATCTGCTCTTCTGTGCCATCCAGACACGTTTTCCAGGCAGATACCAACAGGCAAAGCCCATTGTGTCACCTATAAGCAGTGACACAGCAGTGCCATGGGACAGGCAGGGTGAGGACTGAGTCAGACACCGTTGGACACCCCGAGTTTGGGTGTCCCTTGGGGAGCTTATGCAGACACAGAGAGCAGAGCAGTGATTGACCCTCCCCTGGCATTGTTTCAGTGGGGCTGAGGGGCCTGAGTGAGGGGGTCTGTGATGCTCTAGCCCTGGGTGCAGCAGTGGTGCTGCTGTAGGACCCACAGCTGGGGACAAGGCAGGGAAGGGGTGCAGGGATCAGGGTGCAGCACTGCAGTGCTCCCCGTTGAAGGGGCTAAAAGAGCAGGAGTGGGGGGGAAGCAGGAGACAAAGATGCTCGGGGAGGAATCCCCCAAGCAGAGGAAGACAGAGATGCAGAGAGGGGGATGGATCCAGCCCTCATCTGGAGGCACAGGACAGGCATCACTGAGCAGAGCTGGGGGTGGACGTGGCTGGATTGGGCCAGCGCTGCTCTAAGCATGAGTGGGTGGCATAGAGCAGCAGGCAGGGATCGGGAGAGCAGCGCTGACCTGAGGCTCATGCGAGCCTTCACAGAGCGGGACAGGGGACCTGCCAGCATCCAGGAGGACCAGGACCATGCGGGATGCTCTCGGGAGCAGGTCAGGGGGGTGGGAAGGACGATGAATTGGGTGCTGCTCCACAGGTCCTTAGGGGTCATTCCCCACCTTGGGGTGGCACAAGGGGTGGGTGCTGGCCCCCGGGGCAGGGCAGAGAGGGGGTGCACAGGGTGGGGAAGGGGTGGGCAGCCTGGGTGAGCGTGCAGGGGGAGGAAGGCGGGCCTGGGGGGAGGCTGGAAGGGGGTGGAGTTGCTGGTTTTTCCTTTGAACACGGGGAAGACTTTAGCTTGGAACTTGCATTTGTGGAGCTTCCAGCCGGCAGGAATCAGCTCTCCCTGCTGCGGGAAAGCCCCCGGCGCAAAGGGGGTGCCCTGTGCTTGGGGGGCAGCGCGAGGGAAGGAGGCATGGAGCAACCCTCGGCTGCCTCCCTCTCCCCTCTGCCCCCTTTGCCTTTTCTTTCTCTGTCTCTCTGCTTGTCTGGGGGCTTGTGCTAACGCTGCCTGTGCCAGGAGGGATCCGGGAGCGAGCTGACCCTCGCCTGCAGGAATTGGCTTCCCACCTGCTCCCAGCCTCGAGGAAGCATCCCATCCATCCGGGGTGTTGTGAGGAGAAAGGCAGGAGGTGGCTCGGAGCCCTGGTGTGTGAGGGCGGGCAGGGGGACAGCAGGCTTCTCCTCTTGCCTTCCCTGGAGATTTGGGATCGCGCAGAGACCATGAATGGATCCTTTTTCAACCAGACCCTCCTAGAGCAGGGAGCTTACCCCAACAGGACCCAGGGCTTGGGGATGCTCATGGCCTGCTGCAATGGGACCAGCTCGGTGCTGGCGACCGGTGGCAGCTCTTCGGTGCTGGCACCTGATGAGAGGAGCCTTTACATCACACGGGTGGTGCAGATCGCGGTCCTCTGCGTCCTCTCCTTGACTGTCATGTTCGGCATCTTCTTTTTGGGCTGCAACTTGCTCATCAAGTCCGAGAGCATGATTAACTTCCTGGTGAAGGACCGGAGACCTTCCAAGGATGTGGGAGCTGCAATCATGGGACTTTACTAAAGCCACCGGGCTTTTGTAGGCAAGTGAACTCTATGGACCTGGTGCCAAGATGCACATTCCCATGTGTTTGGGGGGAGCGGAAAAGGGGGAGACAGGGGTCTTTTAATATGTCTGTGTCTATGGGCAAGCCAATCTGTGCTTCCCAGTCAACAAACTGTCCTGGTGACTGGGGAGATCACCCCAGAGCTGTCTGAAGCACAATAAATGAGCAGCGTTGTGTTGCATGCAGAAATGGCTTAAGTTTTGCATGAAACTTGCAGAAGCAGTGATAACGTGCAGATCTGGACTCTTTTCTGCTGTTACCTTGGATACTGCTACCTGGGATTTAGGGCTAAGAAAAAAAAAACAACAAAAAAAAAAGGCAAAAAAAAAAAAAGGGAAATTACTACAAAAAGAAACCAAAAAGAACAAAGTGAAGGGAAAGCAACGTGCATGGCATGGACCGCGGCTTGGACCATGGGGCAGGGGCAGGGAAGTGATGTGTAGGTTGGACAACAAAGTCTGCACGCTCCAAAATGTGCCGGTCTGTTTCTATGTGGGACCTCAAGCATGCATCTTCTGGTAGAGTTTTGTCATGGGGAAAGCATGTTCTTCCTTATTTTCCTGAGCTATCCTGTTAAATGAAGTGGTCCTTTCTTCTTTAGCACTATGCCGAAGGAAGAAAAGAACCCACTCCAACCCCAAAACAAAAGCATGCTCGGTTTTGTACACAACAGCCTTTTCTCAAGTGTTCTATTGTTACCGTCCTTGAGGTTTTTTGTAGTCTTTTTGGAAGCTGGTGAACATTCGGGAATCAAAAAGAACCTGTTTGAAATGAATTTTGTGTTGTCTTCATTTGGTTCGTGTGTGTGTGCAGAGTTCAGGTGTTTTACCCCTGGTTGTAGGTAGCATCACCTCACCTTCCAATTGAGCTCTGATCAGAGGTATTTCGTTAAAGCAGAAACCACATTTCTCAGAGGCAAGTATCAGTTACCACTTGCAAATCAATTTGTCAGGAACTGGGTGTTTCAGGCTTGTGTTAAATCCCTGCACTGAAGCAGAGCTTCATAAAGATGCATTGAGCGCCTCTTGCAAAGCGAGCTGCAGCCTCCAAGTGCAAACCCCGAGCTCTTCTGATCCTGATGAGCTGCCAAAACTGAATGATGAAAGAGGAGGAGGGCTCCTGACCTTTGTTCCGTGATGGATTTGCGGCTCTGGCTGTGGGTGTGAGATGGAAATGATTGGAGTTTTGTTGCGCCAACAACATTCCTGCTGGGTCCACTTCTGTAGTGGGAAAGCAGTCCTGGATGCTGGAGGAGCTGATGAGCTGATCCATTGGGATGTAAAGAACAGCTCTCTCCTTTCCCAGGATTAACAAGATTAAAGGATGCTTTGTAATTGATCAATATTTGCTGAGCACCTTCTCAAAGGTTCCTGCAGGGTGCTGGTAACCCAGTGCAGAGCAGCACTAGTGCAGTGCTGACACTGGTTGCTCCCACTAACCTGTTGTCTGTAGCGCCTTGAAAGCACAAGGACAGTGTGGCAGCAGGACCAGGATTTGGGATTCAAAGCTTTTAAATGTCCCATTGGTGCCAGTGAAACAGCAGGACTCTGATTTCTATGAGGTCTGCATACCTGAGCAACCTTCTCAGCACGGAGGGTTTGCTGCCCAACCAACACATGTAATAGCGGCTCACAGAGCAGCATAGAAGGGGATTTTGGTCCCTGCTGCCCAAGGGGGTGTTAGGACCATTGATCTCGTTGCATATGAGCACAAACTGGTCCCACTGTGGGAGCACAGCCTGGTCACACCATCAGGGTGAGATGCAGAGCATCCCAATGCATACGATGAGCCATCCAGCTCTGCAAACACTTCAGAGTGCATTTGAATGTAGATGTGGCTGCATCTTCAGGTTGCTGTGCTGTCAGAGGACAGCCCAGATGTACCCATCCAGTTTCTGCTTTAAGCATTTGGTCTCTCTTGCCATCCATCCAGCAGACATGGTCCCAGCACAAGAGAGAACTCAGAGCTGATGGAAGAAACCTTCCAATGTCAGCAATACAAGCAAGGCACAGGAAACGTTGCTAATGCAAAGGAAGCATCAAAACCACATTAAATCTGACCTGCATCAGGGAAGAAGCTGGTCAAATTATCCCAGCTGTCCCCATTACCTTTGCTTTGCCAGGGGTTGCCCCATGGGGAAACATGGCTCTGCAATCCTACATAGCCACCAAGACACCAAGTGTCCTTAGAGACCACATCCAGGAGTGGGATTTGGGTTTTTTTTGTCCCTTTTGTGCTGTGGAGTCTTCCAGACCAAAGGAGAAAATTCATCCATGGTAGGGTCACTTTGACATGAGGTGGAGGAGCAAAGCAATGCCCTGAGTGCCTGCTGGGATGGATGGAGCTTGCTCAGGAGTAAATTAGGAGAGGGAAGACTTTCCCCATGGCCTCTTGGGGCAAAAGCCCAACTTTACCTTGGCTTATTCATTCTCTACTGGGGCTGTGTCTCTTCCATGACCATAAGGGCTATGTCTACATCATTGGGTTTTGTGGACCAACAAAGGGTCTGCAGAGTGACGGAGTTGATGGGCACCATCCATATTTACCATACTATACGCTGTGGTGTCCCCATGGGGTTACTGGGCTTCTATCTTGCTCTCAGTGGGTTTAAGACACTTACACACAAGTCCCCATCCTCTCATATTCCCAACAAAAGGCTGATTACCCACTGAGAGTCATGACCAGTGCAGGTCATTCCTAGTGAAAGGTGCTGAGGGCACCATGATGCTGCCCACATCTCTGACCCTGCAAACCCAGCTTGCCCTGCCCCAGAGGATGAGGTGGTTCCTCCAGGGCTTGCGTAAGGGAAGCAGACCATAATGGCTCTTTCTGCTGCCTTTCCCCATGAATAGCTGTGTGTTTTCAGCTCACACCTCCTCATTTAGCTGAAGCTCCAAGTGGGTTCTGGCTCCCAAGAAGATTTAAGCAGGTTTTTTTTTGGACAAGGCTGGTTTCATGTTATTTTGGTTCAGGTTCTTTGAACTGTTGCTTGTAGCAGGTTTAGTTCCAGAATGTCACTGGGGTGCCAGGAGCTGCACACATATGACTGAGAGACACTGAATCCTAGAATGGTTTGGGTTGGAAGGGACCTTCAAAGGTCTATAGGTTCTATATGGGTCTATAGGTCCAAAGGTCTATAGGTTCTGCCTCTAGATACTGCTGGCTCTAAAGTACAGAGGAGAGACAGGGAGAGAAGGGATAAGCTTAGGTGGATCATCACATCAATGGCAGAATGAGGACCAGCATTGAGTGTCTTTTAAAATCATCACCTAGCAGTGGAATAGAAGATACCAATGCAGTCCTGTGGGAATGGCCACACTGGTCCATCTAATCTGCATCCCTCCTCTGAAAGCAATCATGATTTTAGGCAGTGTGTGGTCAGTCAAGTTATGCTATGACTAGGGAGCTGCTTCTTGACCTCAACCAAGAGCACCCAGCACTGGACCTTCCCAACCCTCCTTCCCTGTCACTGGGCTGGTCCACACTTGCAGTGATTTTGTTCCATCTGGGATTTCCTATTCCTGAGGGCAGACAATGAAAGAGTTAAACAAGCCAAGACAGACGGGCAGATTAGGGGAGAGGGAGGATCCCAACCTGAGCCTGGCACCAGATGTACCAGAGCACCTGCACCAAACACACAGAGTATTTAATAATTCCTGAGAATTGCCATGGTAATGAAGCACGGAGTCAGGTTGTTATGGCAACAGCCTGTTTTTTAAGGCAGGGAGGCTTTACCCAGGTTGTAACCTCAATCCAGCCTCAACGCACTTCTGAGTGGGTCTGGGATGCTCTGCCACTGCCTGTGGTGTGGTGTGTGCCATTAGCTTCCCATTACCTGGCTATTGGGAAGGACACATCCATGTCTCCAAGTGTGTATGTACAAGAGGGCAGTCATGAGCAAGCCCCCATTCCAGCCAAGCCCAAAGAGAAATGCTGTGATCCCAGTTTGAAGCCTGCCTATGATTACCTGCATCCCAAGCGATGCAGGTCCCAAAGCTGGTCCCAAGATGAGGCAGGCACTTTGGGGGCTGAAAAGGAGGTAACAGATCACTTTTCCTAAAGGCACATGACAGACCTAAAGAGAAAGCACAGGATTCCTGAGCTCTGGCAAGGTGTCCCTGCACTGAAGGGGCACCCATCAGGCAAGACTGGAAATCTCCTGTGTCTCCCTCCTGCCTTCCTACCAGTGGGCACAAAGCCACTTCCATCTCCCCCCCAAGTCATCCCCTCCAGCAAACATGTCAGGTTTGTCCAGCTGATGCTTACATTGAGTTTTAATTCAGTGCTGGTTAAAGCAGCAGCCCTGTGAGCCCATTTTCTATTAAGGAACCAGAAGCCGTGCACAGAAGGGTTCACTTAGCAGAGAGATGGCTTGAAATACACAGTGCAATTACTCAGGAGCATCGCTTGATAAATCCCCACTGCTGCTCAGCATGGTTCTCTTGTGTTTGCTGTGTGAGAGCCATTAGCCTCTAGATAAAGCCTCTGTAGTCCATTAGCTCTGCCACAGAGGGACAAGTTGATGCCATTGGAGTCAGGTACTCAAGGGAGACCTGAGATCAAGTGATGACAAGAATTCAAGAGCCAGCACTGCCTCACAGCTTCGGAGGCTTTGCCTACCAGTTTCTCTGTTTGAAAGGGGAATGTTTCCCAGTGTCTGTGGCTTTCCAGCTGCTTTGATGCTGCGGCTGCTGCTGGTGTTTTGGCCAGGAATTCCTCAGCTCTCCCATCCTGCCCTGACTCCATGCTGAAGACTGCCTGGACCTGCTGGCCTGGCACAGGACTTGCTGCCTACTGAGGTGTGCAGAGCACTTGGCACCCACCACAAAACCCGGGACACAGAAAGCTCCCCCCTTCCAAAGAAATGTAGGTTGTCCCTTTTGCTCCTTGCCAAATCAGAGCTGTTATGGGATTGAGTGAGCAGTTAGAGTCCTCGGTATAAAACATGGATCTCACAGCTCCATCTGTACTCGGAAAATGATCAGTGCCAGGAATATTCCTGGGCGCTGGAACTTGGCTGATGGCTTTGAGAACGGTTCTTGGTGCGGTTCAGACCTGTGCCAGCAACCTGACCCCGACAGGCCCAAGTGAAAAGATCACAGTGCATTCAAGGACACTTCTTCAGCCTGAGCTGGCTGTGCAGGGTGAGCATCTCATTACATCCGATGGATTCACATGCAAATGTAGATGTCCTCAGAGCAATTGGCTTTCTGAATCCAAGTGTCTCAAACATGAATGAGGGATTTGAAACCCTTGGTTTTAGTCCTGGAGAATGCATCTTTGGAACACAGGGAAGCACAAAACAGCCTCAGCAGCCCGTTCCATGGTGCTGGATGCATCTTCATGTTCCCCCGTTAAGATGACTGAGCCAAGCTATTCCCCTGCAGGCTGGTCATGGTTTGAGCTCCTCTGATTTGAGAGTCAGGCAATTCCTTGGGCTTGTTTATTCCATCAGCACATGGGTACGGAAAGTTCAGTGAAAGGGAAATCAGAACATTGCCAACAAACCAGGAGGGTTTGGCAGAGCCCTGATGGTGTCACTGTCAACGTGCTGGAAAGTGGTGGGGGCACTGGAAATACTCAAAGGCATGTAACTAAAGTGACTGTCTCTGATTTGACAGACACTACTCACTGCCATGTATTTCAGGTTGCGTAACAGGAGTCCAGCTTCAGAGCTGCCTTTGCACCTCTTTGGCTCTCTCATCCTTCCCAGCAGCTCATTAGCGTGGATGACATTTTCACATCGTTAATTTAAGGCAGGTTCATCACCAAC